TGCACCAGAGCCCAAAAAGGCATTAGTACGTTGGAAAGTTTTGCAAACCCTATCGCACTTCGTGGCTTTCATGTTCGTTTCGTTCCTAGCCGGCTAGGGCACAAAAATCATAACGTTGGAAAGTGTGAAACTCTTGCCCAGAATCACGATGCATCTTGCCAGAACACCACTCCCAGGCCACATCGTGAGTGCCCGGAGCCAACAGTAGGCCACTTTGTGCTCTTCGCGTTCCCAGAACACCACTCCCCAGGCCGGAGCAACTCTAGGCCATTGTGTGTTTTGCTTGCGTTGCTTGCATATGCATTGCGACTGAGGAACGGCGACACCTACTGTCGGTCTGTGGGACTGCGAGACCTGCGAAACTGGTGGACCTGTGGGAACCTACGACACCGAGGAGCTTGAAAACACGGTGGGAACTGGGGACCCTGTGGGAATGGCCTGTGCGGGACCGTGGCATGCAAGCCTTTTGTCGCGGACCGGTGGGACCCGCAACACATGTGGGACCTGCGGAACCACTGGGGCTTGTCGGACCTGCGACACCCGTGGGACCTGGGGGTCGTCTGTGGTCCGTGGAACCCTGTGGGACGCCTGAGAGCCAGCCGAAGCAACGCGTGAATGCAGCAGGCAGTTGAAGGTGGCAGAAGCGAAAAGTGTCGGGAAATGTACGAGCTTAGCGTAGTCTTGGGGCCCGTAACAGCGTAGTCTTGGGGCCCGTAACAAAATGGCCTTCCAGCAACGCTAACTTAGTATCCCTTATGCGCTACTTACGTGATATTGAACAAACGAATAGTAGCCAACGTGGCCCCCGAACGTCGATGTTTTGCAATCCTCGCGGTGCAATCTAGGCGGTGCAACGCATGCTATGCAACCTAGGTAGCGCGAGCCACGCGGTGCAGTTCATGCAACGCACAGCGACGCCAAGCAACGCTAAGCAATGCAAAGCAACCAAACCAAAGCACAAAATGGCCTAGAGCTGGCTCCGGGCACCCAGAATGTGGCCTGGGCATTGTGTTCTGGGAACACGAAGAGCACAAAGTGGCCTACTGTTGGCTCCGGGCACTCACGATGTGGCCTGGGAATGGTGTTCTGGCAAGATGCATCGTGATTCCAGACAAGAGCTTCACACTTTCCAACGTTATGATTTTTTGCGTCCTAGCCTGGCTAGGACGAAACGAACATGAAAGCCACGAAGTGCGATAGGGTTGCAACTTTCCAACGTTATGAATGCCTTTTTGGAGCTCTGGTGCAAGACTTCCCCACAAAAACGACGCCGTTCGTAACGTTGAAATTTCTTGAATAAAGAATATTTGAATATTCTTATTTAAGCGTTTCCAACGTTACGAACGGCGTCGTTTTTGTGGGGAAGTCCTGCACCAGAGCTCCAAAAAGGCATTCGTAACGTTGGAAAGTTGCAACCCTATCGCACTTCGTGGCTTTCATGTTCGTTTCGTCCTAGCCAGGCTAGGACACAAAAAATCATAACGTTGGAAAGTGTGAAACTCTTGCCCGGAATCACGATGCATCTTGCCAGAACACCACTCCCAGGCCACATCGTGAGTGCCCGGAGCCAACAGTAGGCCACTTTGTGCTCTTCGCGTTCCCAGAACACCACTCCCAGGCCACATCTTGGGTGCCCGGAGCCAACTCTAGGCCATTTTGTGCTTTGCTTTGCGTTGCTTTGCATTGCTGAGACCCCTGAGACCTGCGACACCTGTCGGTCCTGTGGGACCTGCGAGACCTGCGAAACTGGTGGGACCTGTGGGACCTACGGCACCCGAGGAGCTTGCAACACCTGTGGGACCTGGGGGACCCCTGTGGCCTGTGGGCCCCGTGGGACCTGCAAAACCTGTGGGACCGGTGGGACCCGCAACACATGTGGGACCTGCGGAACCACTGGGGCTTGTCGGACCTGCGACACCCGTGCGACCTGGGGGTCGTCTGTGGTCCGTGGAACCCTGTGGGACGCCTGAGAGCCAGCCGAAGCAACGCGTGAATGCGGCAGGCATTTGAAGGTGGCAGAAGCGAAAAGTGTCGGGAAATGTACGAGCTTAGCGTAGTCTTGGGGCCCGTAACAGCGTAGTCTTGGGGCCCGTAACAAAATGGCAGCCGTGGATGTAAAAAATTAACGCGAAACCCATCCGTAACATTGAACTCCGCCATTCAAAGATACGGAACGCAAGCTAGGCATGAACGGCCCCAGGTTGAAAAAAGTGTTTCCGTGTTTCGCGTTTATTGTTTACATTTTCGCGGGCAGCTGCCGATCTAGCCCTACCTGGAATTCGCGGCCTTTGAATGGCGAAATCCAATGTTATGAATAAATTTCGCGTTTATTGTTTACATCCACGGCCTTCCAGCAACGCTAACTTAGTATCCCTTATGCGCTACTTACGTGATATTGAACAAACGAATAGTAGCCAGCGTGGCCCCCGAACGTCGATGTCTTGCAATCCACGCGGTGCAATCTAGGCGGTGCAACGCATGCTATGCAACCTAGGTAGCG